ATAAAAAAATTATAATATTCTTTGAAATATTTTATTGATCCATAAAAGATACGCCAGCAATCATTATATAAATTCATGTAATATTACACACGCGAAAAAATAATATTGTGTGAAATTGCACAAGATCTACATTTCGCGAAAGATCCGCGGGAGATGTTTATAAATTTATTGACGCATAAATATTTTTCTAGTCAAGTTATAATCTTTGTAAATTTTAGTTATGCCTAGTGCATATTGTTCTTGACAAGTTAATATATGAAGTTTACTTTACTTTTACCAACATTAACAAAGACGAATTTCTCAAGACTACGCACGATATATTTAGACCAGCAAAGTTGAGCAAAGATGAATGGTCACGAACGAACTATTTAGGACAAACATGAACGAGCATAGAGTCAGCTCTTTTTTTTTAAATGTATATATTGAACAGAATTAAAACGCATTTACCAATAAATGTATATTTAGACTTGTTCGTACTCGCGATGCTGTCCATTGAAACAGATTCGATCGCGCTCTTTATTTGATCTACATACAGCTTAAAATAGAATGGAATACATAGAGAGACGTAGCTGTAAACACGAGTTATAATTTTATTATCAATGTACGTCATACAGCACATGGTTAGTGACACGCTTATACGCATCGTACGCACAAACACTCGCACACACGTATCAACAGAAAAACTAATTACACGCGTCACGTGCGTACATATTCGTATATACCTGTATATGCATATGCACTTATATGTACATATATATTTTATACGAAAAATCATACATATGCAACATATAATATAATATAATAACAGCATGTATATTTTCACATATTTTTCTCGGTATACAAGCATAATATTTTATATGTAAGTCTATATTCGCAAAGCGCGAAAAGGAGAGAATTTCTCGTTTTGTTCATTTTTTCAAAATATATAATTCTCGTAGCGCTCGCTTTCTCTCTCTCTCTCTCTCTCCCTCTCTCTCTCTCTCTCTCTCTCTCTCACGCACACATTGTTCTCGTGTATATTTTTCTATGATTTCTTTCTGCAAAAATTTACACAATAATGATACGTTCGTGCGTTCGAACGCAACGAATAATAATAATAGTAATGAATTTGATGATCGACAAAGATAAACTCTTAAGAAATAATGGATATCATTGAAATGAGAAATTAGCCGTCGTTCTCACGGCCTTTCGATGATTACTTTCACAACCATCTGCACACATTCACTAGAATCTTTTTAGTATTTTCAATATCACAATGGTTTAATATATTGACTATTTCTTAAATAATTTTCTTTAACTTCTAGAAGCGTGTTGTAAACGTATTATCGATTTTTCACCCTGAATGTGACTTTTTCCTTGTTATTTCGCAATGCTCATGGTTGAATATGCATGTATACTCCGCGATCACTTTTCTAACTTCAATCTCGCAACGTTTTTAATCATGTCTAAGTCCGTGGAGGCTTTCTGTTCACTTTACATGTTTACGTATATATATTCAAGTATACTCGAATCGCGTTTCTATTGTTACAAATATGTATCGTGCTTTCAATTTCCATTTTTGGCCTCGTTCACGCGCGTAAGTGGGCCTCATCCGCCCACGCCTGGATATAACCATGTACCTTATTGCCTTTATCCATTTCTCCATGCGATAAAAACGACGTAGCTTTATTATAGATCATGTGACACGTGTGAGTATCGAAGGAACACTAAATCCTGAGTATCTAAAATTTCAAACGAGACACGCACGAGTACGGCGCTATCTCGACCTCTCGTAACTTCATCCGATATACTGATTAAACGCTTTTACTTGACAATCGTTTCCATTGCAAAAATAACGACCGAAATATCCTCACAGTTATATGAAAATGAGTTTTTTGTGCACGGTCCAGATATCATAAAATGTTTCGCACGACAGAGCTATAAAAGTTTGAGGGTTACAAGTTTTTCTTTTTTACTTTATGTTTAAAATGATATTAGTAGAAGATGCATATATTTGAAATAACATGCTCTGCTTTTAATCTCACGTATATATTACATATACTTAACATAAATAAATATATATATATATATATAAATCAATTATAAGACGGTTTGATTTTTAAATAACGCATTGTTATATTTCACTGACATTATGAATTTAACAAAAAAATATTTAAAAAAAATTTGAATCTTTGAAGAAAAGGCTTATTAAAGTGCTATCACATTACAAATTTTGTGTGAATTTTTTATAGGATAAAAATTTCGATGAAATTAAAATACATCATTTAAAATTGAGCCATTCTCTATACATTCTTTCATATTTTTACGTTCAGATCCAAATAGTTTTAGATAGAGCGTTTATCACATACAGTAGATAAAAAAAAGCGATATATCGTATTTATAATTAAATGTAAATACTGCAGTGTTCCAAGTAATTAAAGGATCGCTTTTTCGTATAGTTTTTTAAACATTATAAAAAAAACTAAGAAGTATGTATTTATTTACTATCTAAATCTAAAAATATGTTGTCACATTCCTGTCAGAGATAATTGTCAAAATAATCATTTAATCAAACAGTTTCAAACAATTTTTTATGCTTTCTGAATAAAATGGAAAACAGTATTGCACGTAAAATCAATGTCAATTATATATACGTGATATTATTTTTATGGCACTTTCGCAGATTGCGATACTTAAATTGCAATGATAAAAATTTACAAAAAATACGTAATACTAAAAAAAACTATGTAACATGTCTATCAAGTTATATGTTCGAATAATAATCAAGATTTTGCATAATAGAATTTTTATGTGCCATAGTCTTGCGCATAATATGTAATCACAATAATACTAATACTGCGAATATTGCATATTCATCCATAAAGAGAGAAGAAAGCCTATAGTATTATACATAGATAAAATATAATAAATAGAAAATTCATAATTTTACATCGGAATTATAGCATATACGAAAGTTCGATTATATCGTAACACAAAGAGAAAATAGTTTATGTGCAAGGATATGCAAACATGTGTAAAAATATGAACACACGAAGTCTCTTAGTCTCTTCGCAGTTAGAAATTAGATTAGATTATATACGCACGATAAAACGCGATACAAATGTGAAAGACTATAACATCGACATTTTTCACAAGCATGAGAAATAATCTATCTTAAGACTCATTTTAACATATAACACCAATCTTTATAAACGCGCACACATATATAGAGGTGCTTTCTTAAATATATAAACTAATATAGATTTTTCTTTACATTTAAACACTAATGTAGGCCATCATATTATTCTTTATTAAAAAGATCTGATATACGCATGTTTGGTAATTTAAAGCGTAAAATGAATTATTTATTCAAAATAAATGAAATAAATAATAAATTATTCAACGATCATAAATAGACAATTATAAATACAATTCGACATCAAACGCACCTAATTCATACATTATGTCATGAGCAATATGAAAATGAGGTAATTAAAAATAATATTTAAACATTCTCTTGGTACATAAGTACAACAAGAATTTTTTAATTCATAAGTGATACCATAATTTATTTGGTATATAAAGTATTCTATCAATGATAACAATTAATAATAACAAACAATTATAAGATATACATTTTCTCTAGTAATAGATAATATAACAAAAAAATAATTAATACTATCTTTCAAACTAAATATCTCTGTCCATTTAACAAATCAAATTCATCAGTCTTAATATTGCTAAATACAAATGAATTTTTTTCTATATCACGAAAACATATGTGTAATATAAAAAGATATATATACCAAATATATATATAATAGATACAATACTTATAAACACACGCATATATATATATATATAGTATAATAGGAAATAATTTTTACCGTTTAAAATTGTATTATAATTGAACGTTTCCTCCAGGCATCTATAAGATAAGATTAATGATAAAGAATTTTTTTAAAAAAGTAACAATTGTGCTGAGATGCAATAACTAAAATTATTTGTGCTATATTTGTGCCTTCACTTTTTCATTATAATTTTGTACAAACTGAAGACAACCTTATTAACGTAATATTATGCGTTTGTACATCAGATCTTTATATCCGAAAATAAGTCAATATTATCAGAGGCAATATTGCCTTACATTAAATACTTTTATTTCTTATATTTAGATTCACAATAATTTATTTGTATTAGATATATCAACAGGTAATTAATCTTTAATAAAAAAAACTTTGTTAAGATAAAAATTAAAACACCGAGTGATATTTACAATATAACATTATGAAATAATTAACAATAAATAAATCAATAGTACAACTCTCGTTAATAAAATGTTTATAAAAGATATAATGATTTTAATCGTTTCTGTAACATATTTAAAAATTTCTTTATCTATTGACCATCAAATTCTTTATTACACTTAAATTGTTATACTATAATATAAAAAACGAAATAATGTACAATACAATACTGCTTCATTTTCATTAATTACGTAAATAATCAATTGTCATAATTATATTCCTAGCATAGAAAAACGGGAGGCTTCAAGTCACGAAAAGATACACATTTAATGTGTTTGATTTAGAAAAGGTTTATCATGAAGAGAATATCTTAATTATGAAAGAAAAGGAAAAGGATATCATAATAAAATTAAGTCATTTAAAACTATAACAACTATTTCAAAGGTGAGCTCGATATCGACGAAATGATTGTAGTCATTTTATGACAAGGACTTTTCTTATATGCGAAGAAGTAAAAAATTTGTAATATTATGCATTGTGTGCAATAAAAAACGCTTAATTTCATATATATAATTCTTTTCGATAGTAGAAAATTTGATGTGTACACGCACACATGGATAGAGATATAATCTCAATTTATTATGCAGTCAATGTCTCTAATGTTCATTTTCTGCTACAAATATCGTAATAAATTAATCCTAAATTAGATTTAAAGAATCTAATTTCATTTTCATAGTATTGGCATCAGAACCTTTTTATTTTTCATTGGCACACTTCTACGATAAATACTCTTTATAAATATTATGTTTACACGGTATATAAATACAAAGAAAACGATACTTCATAGCACTTGTTAATGCTATGATATAATAAACAGCAAAAGATGGAAAATAGTTATAGATACCTATACTGGAGAACGAAAGAATCATTCTTTCTGATGGCTTTCTTAAACTCAAGGACGTACTCTCTCAGAAACAAAGTCATTGCACGATGCAGCACCGTGGTCCTTGATTCTTGTACATGTGCGCAGTTTGTCTTCAAAACTTATAAAATGATACATTTTTTTGAAGCACGTCGCCGCTTTTTTTGATTTTTCTCCAATTCGGCTGGGGGTTGATTTCTGATAATACGAACAACCTTGAACAAATATGAACAAATTGCAAATCTGTATATTAATTTACATGAATGAAAATAATCAATAATCATCTTTTATTATTATTTTTACCTCATGAAATGCCACGTCTACGTTTAACGGTGGATCTTTGGCAGAAGTTTCAATATAAGGTATACCCAAACGATAAGCTAATTCTCTTCCCTGTTCCTCTGTAACTTTTCTTAAATGCACCAAATCGACTTTGTTAGCTACCAGTAACATAGGATAAATATCTCTATCTTTCACTCGCAGAATTTGAGTATGAAAATTGACGATGTTTTGATACGATTGTTTATCGGTCACAGAATATACCAAAAGAAATCCATCACCTTTCCGCATATATTGTTCACGCATAGCACTAAATTCTTCCTGACCAGCTGTATCTAATACTGCAATATATAACAAATGTATATAAGTATTCATGAGAGAAAAGTTATTCTTAACATCCTATGTTTCTAATACATGCATCAAAATTTTAATTACTAAGTATCAATTTATTAATGATTAATCTCTTGTTATTAGGTAATAAATTTGAAGAAATATAAAAATCATTCAATATAGATACTATTGATAAAGAAAAAAAATGAATTATTTGTAAGAGAGATGTAAAAATATTTACCATCCAAGATACACCATTGTTTGTCCACTTCTGTGTGTTGTATATAACTATCCTCGATAGTTGGATCATAGTCTGCAACAAACAGTTTCTGAAAAAACTGTATTGTAAGTGCGCTTTTGCCAACACCTCCATCACCAACAACAACCAATTTAAAGGTCATAAGATTGTCATTATTTGGAGGACGTGTCATTCTGCCTCTGGATCCTCTACTCCTTCTTCGTCCGCTCCTGCGTCTGCCTATCCTGCCAACTCTTCTAACGTGTCTCTTTAGCAGTGCAAACACTTGTAGGATGGCAAATTGTCTCTTTAACCCGAAAGGTCCTGTAACGATCAGAGCTTTCAGAAAATTTACAGGAATATCTAGCGAAAAAATGCATTGGTATCACAGGAATGCGTTAGCGCATTGTCGTTCACGCGTAAAAGTCAGAAACGAGAAATTGTGCGGTAAAAATACGATAAAAATACGTCATCGGCGTAGCGAGTACGCCAAACGTCAACTTTTACCTTCATTAAAGCTGATTCTACAGTGAGTCGGTAGGCGGTAGTCCTAAGTCTTATTGGTGAATCGGTGAAGTTGGCCAACAGCCAACTTGTACGACTACGACTACCGATTTTCTTAAGATTGACCAAATTCGACTTTATTCCTTCCCATTAGTCGAATTAAACGACTCGCTGCAATAGTACAACTAACAACTAGTAGATGCGAAAAATCATAGTCACTTATTTAGGTTAAAACTAGTTAAGACTTAAGATTTCCGACTACCGATTCATTGTAGGATCAACTTAAGAGATGCGTATAGTTTTATGACAATTCGTACGCAACGATAGAGAGATAGAAGACAGAGAGATGTTCTACCCAACGTTAAATTCTTGTAACAAACTCACCTTACATGATTCGCTACTTTTACTATTCGTGCTGGCAGCTGTCAAATCGCAAGTACCGTGCGCAAATGCCGCAATGTAGGCACGCGCGCGCGCGCACGCTGTTTTGCGTGCAACGTATAGCAAAATCATGAATGTGTGTATGTACGTATGTATATATGCATATCGTGCTCACACGCTTTCGTATTCGCGCGTCACGGCTACCGCTCGAACGTCATCGACGTTCCGAAACCGGTGAAGCGACTGAAGCGCGATGCACGGTGGCAACCAAGAAGACAGACTAGAACTAAGTAAAGTCCTAGATATCAGAGAAGCGCAACCGGCTTAAGTCAGTCGCAAAGTTACTAACGAGAGTATTAAAAATGGCCGATATGCAATAAAACTGCCTTTAAACTGTCATCACCATAACCTCTTAATTTGCACTGCTATTAACGGAGTAAAACTTTA